GTCAGCTTTCCTGCTCCTCTGATGCTGCTTGGCCTGCTGTGTTCATCCAGCTCTACACCTTGTTATCTCAGACCTCCTCTTCAATTCTGAGGAAGGGTCACCAGACCCAACACTCTGATTTCTCTTTGCAGATGCTGCCAGCAACTTTGTTTTTGAATCTAATAATGTAGTTATTAAGGTTCATCGAGTACATTATAGCTTTTGGTAGAGCAGTCCCACTCCCGACCCCACCATTCGCTGTAGCCCTGCAAGTTTGTTACTCTCAAGTGTCCATTCAATAATTAAGTCATAATGTTAGTGTAAACATATTTCTGGGAAGACCGGTAGCTGTATTGATAATGTCTTGGACAGTAATCCAGAGGGTCAGACTAATGATGTGGGACATGGGTTCAAATTCCACCAGGACTCCTGGCTGAAATAGAATTCAATTAATCCAACCTGGCATTGAAAGTTGGTCTCAGTAATGGTAACCGTTGAACATCATTTGTTGAAAAAACCCATCTATTTCAGTAATGTACTTTGGGAAAGGATATCTGTGGTGCTTATCTGGCCTTGCATCCATGTGAGTCTGGGTCCACTGGAATATGGTTGACTCTTGTCTGCCCTCTGAAATGGCTTAGCATGCCACTAATTTTTCAAGGGCAGTTAGGCATGGCAACAAGTGCTGGCCTTACCAGTGATGCCCACATCTCAAGAAAAGATGCAGCTGGTATGTTGCCCATTGATCATGGAAAGTTTTTAATGTACCTGAAAATACTATGTGATCTGATCCCTCTCCAGTGCCATCCAGGTACACACAAAGCACAGAAGAGAAGATGGCAAGCAGAGCAATCTCACCCTTCACCACCACCACCATAGTTCCTTTCCATTCTGGGCCAAGAGATTGTTACCTTGGGTAATGCCCAGATTGGCTTGGATGAGGATAAGATGTTACTCATAAACAAATTTCTTGAATGATTTAGAGGATGTGATAATCTTAATTTATTCCTAATTTCAATTTTGTCACTATTTACACAATTAACTCCATTGGTCACAAAACGTGTTGGTAGATTACTCTTGTTTCACCTCCTCTGGTGGCTCAGTGGTTAGCACTACTGCCTCACAGCGCCAGGGACTGGGGTTCAATTCCACCCTCGGGTGACTGTCTGTGTGGAGTTTGCATGTCTTCCCTGTGTCTGCGTGGGTTTCCCCTGGGTGCTCCGGTTTCCTCACATAATCCAAAGAGGTAGAGGCTAGGTGGACTGGCCATGCTAAATTGCCCATAGTGTTCAGGGATGTGCAGATTAGGTGTGTAGCCATGGGAAAATGCAGGGTTATAGGGAAAAGGGTAGGGGGATGGGTCTGGGTGGGATGCTCTTCAGAGGGTCGGTGTGGACTTATTGGGCTGAATGGCCTGTTTCCACACTGTAGGGATTCTATGATATGATCCCAACACTTTTTAACATCTTTCTTCAATAAATTTGTAATTCCTATTTGAAAGAGTTTATGGCCCCTGCTTCAATATGAGTTCATGAGGGAATTCTATACTCTAACAATTCTGCACAAACAATGGCGGAGAAAGAGGCCACTCAGTTCCTTGTGCTTGAGTTAATTCTTCAGCTGGAGTTATACACTCCAATCCATCTTTGTGTTCTGTTCCAGCATAAATGTATATTCGTTTTTCAGATTATTAACTAATTTATAGGTTATAGTGAAGTTATAATGTTTCAGTATGCAAATGATTCTGTTCGTATATCATGTGGGTCCTAAAGAATTTGCTACATCAGGACATTTGGAACTCCACCCTGTGAGGATGTAAATGGCCACAGAAGATAAACGGAGAAATCCTTTCACATAATCTGCTCCAAAACTCTCAAAATAGACATTTAAATGCATTTCTGTAACCATCAGGTATCTCCTGCCTGGATAGTCATTATACATGGGAAAGCAGGTGACTGTGCATAAAGCAAATGTAAATGGTTAGGAATGTTGTGAATGCTGGCATGGTGTCAAGGGATGCGAATTGCATATGATCAGCTGAGAATAGGCAGTATAGGTTGACTGGAATAGTTTCTCTATGTCCATTAATTTTGTAATTTTGAAGTCAACAAAATAAGATAATTTGAAAGTTTTTGTAAGTAGTAATGTAACAGTGAACAGATCATTTCTTTCCAAATGTTGTCTGAGAGACATACATTGGCCAGGACACCAAGTATGTTATAATACAGAAACTTAAAAACCTCAAACTCTCAACCTCCTTTCTGTGAGATATTTTATTATGATTCTCTTTACTAACTCACTCACAAGTGCTCCATGTTTACTATACCACATTTCCATTCATTCATTCATTCATAACTCTTTACTAACTCACTCACAAGCGCTTTATATTTACTATACCATGTTATCATTCACTCATTCATAAAATGCATTTTTGTAGTACATTTTACTCTTACAAGATAAATCAAAATAAACATCCCTTCCAAAACATAACTGTTTCTTTATACCTTTCAAGCAGCTTTTAGACCTGTTTCTGTATCAAAGGCTACCCCTGACTAAGTGTTAATACTGTAACCTACTCAGAACAATGCCATCCCAGCCGTTGTGTCTCTATGACTCACTTGAAACTATGGAAAGATTATAATATTAATTACCATTAGCAACTGTCTCTCGGGACCTGAATAGGTTGCAGGACATCAAACAGTTTCCTCCACTAGCATATCCCTATAGTCTGTTGTTCTTTATCTTTCTGAAATTTCCTTATACACTACCTATTTCTATACCATTGTACTACCGATTTCTAGCTTTTATTTAGGACTACCATTTTGGACTAATGTACGGACTTATACTTTTTAAATACACATTATGTAGGGCTATTATTTCCCTTTAAGAAACTTACTATCAAAACAGTGCTTCCGTGAAACTGCATGAATGAATGTGTAGGAACTATCAAAACTAGCAATAGTGAATGAAATCTCATGATCCAGCTGCTGTTGATCGGTTTAATTTCCTCAATACTTTTATTTAGTACATGTATAATTTCTGATTTTTTAGATCATATAGGTCTGATATTTTTAATGTATGTAAAAACTGTGTATAAAAGAGGCTAATGTAAAACTGACCTTTGGATTCTGTTGCTGCCTCGAACTGTGCTCCTGAGGATGCTCAATAAAGAGGCTATTTCCCCACTCACTGATCTCGGTCATTATTGAACACTATCCCACATTTCAAATAAAAAATTAATAGTGTCAAATACATATAAATTGGTACTATAGCCTAGCTAATTATTCAATTCAAGGGCAATTAGCAATGGCAATAAATGTTAGCTTTGATAGCATCATTTACATTTCATGAAAGAATAAAGAGAAAAAGCATTTATATGTACCCATGCTGCTCAATACATATTTTAAGGAACTTAATATATTTAAATGAGAACCACACCTGTATGTACATTCATTCATTCAAATAAGCCTGTATAACTTTAATTGGTATTATGAAGTGATAAAGAGAATGTGATGGTGATTTGCTTTTGACATTTAATCTATGTAGAACAGCACAATAATATTTCAAAGCATTGAATTTTACTCCCTAGATATGCTTGACAGATGACATGATCCAATACATATAGTGCTTCACACTATACCAGCATCATATTTTAAAAAGGTGAGAAATGCTAAAAACAATTCTCCTGATAGCTGTTTGAACAGCTGGGCTGCAGTCATCTGTCGTCAGCACTTTTCAAGGTATTACCATCTTCACGTACCTGTCAAATTCATAATCTTTTGCTAAATGAGCAAAGGCATCAAAATGTTTAGATTGTATGAATTATAACCTGCACCAGATCCCTACAGAAATAATCACTTTAACTTCAGCAGCCTCAACACATGCTGACATTCAGTGCAGGTCACACTAGTGGGCACATCCTGATCTGAAAACTTCTGTTCTGCACTTGCTCAACAACATGAAGGCTGGGATTTTTTATGAAAGAGGGTAATACACGATGTAGGGACCATGGAAGGATCTGTACCTTCATCAGAAGGCAAGGGAACTGCAGCAGCAATCTTCCCAGCAACAGCCCACCATCCTAGAATGTGGGCAGTTCTGGCTAGCACCAAGAAAGGTGCCCATTGCTGAGTCTGCAAGGTTATCAAATGGGTCCCTCTGTTTTGAGCTATATTTTTCTCTCTCTGTTGAGCCAGACAGATAGGGTCCAATGATTAATGGCGTAACCCTTCCAACTGTTCATCGTGTTCAAATAGCTTCATGAAAAGAAAAGTTCGATTTCCATTCTGGTTCTTTGAATTTATATCCAGCTTGTCACTTTACAATTAATTTTAGGACCGTTTGGAGAATGATGCTGAGGAATCAGTCTCCTGGTCCATTCAACCTATCC